CCTGCTGGGTTGTACCAATTCTGTAATAGTTGAAATGCTGTTGCCAAGATGTTGGTTTGGTTAACCACAATTTGGATTAGCTCTGGCGAGGTTTCGTTGATGCTTTTCTCATTCCCATTGGCTTGGGTTCTTGAGTCATCGGATCCATCATTCCCATAGCCTTTGTTACCAGTGTTATCCATCTGTCACAAGGTAGAGGTTGAGAGGGGAAGCATACAAGGAAAGAATAGACCAGAACTAGGGACAAGACCTTAAAGGAACTAACTCTTCTTGTTGATGTGTTGTTTGTTTCACTTATTCTGCAAGTTGATTAAGCAAACAACCTAGCATGGTTACATCACAACCCACCGATGCAAACCACGCACTACACACACAAGCAAAAGAACACACGACTAACCACACTACCCTAGAGGGCGGCTTAGGTTCTGTGACTGGTTCTCCAAGATCTTCACTCTTGCTTCACATCTGGCTTCACTGCTTCCTTTGCTTTGCTAACGGATCCAACAGCCTTCTAGAGCTTCAGCAGACAACTGACGACATCTTCTTCTTCACAAAGCTGACCAACTAGTACTAGTTGAAATCCGAAGAAGAAAGAAAGGAGTAAACATTTTGCAAATAGCATTAGGGAAGGAGAAAAAAAAAGGAACTTTCGCAAATAGTTTCATTTATAAAATATGTCCTTAGGTTTTATCCACTTGGCTTATCCTACAGTCGAGATGGCTCTGATACCAGCTTGTCGCGACCGAGAAAATTGCCTTTTCCCGAACGCTAGTGTATTAATCCCCGTCCCAGGAAAAGCCGGGGTACACCAAACAAATATGATACAAAAGGCACATCTTTATTATATCGATAATATTTACATTATTACAAAGGCACTTCAGGCCTGACAATCAAAAATAAACAGCAGCGGACTAGCGGGCCTACGGCTCCATCTTCACAGGCGCTCAACTGGGGTATAAGCCAGGACTCCACCTAAGACTTCTTCTCCAAAGCTTCTCTTACTGAAGGGGGGAAAGATAGAGCAAGAATGAGTACAACCACCATACTCAGCAAGTCACACCGGGAGATGCATGATTAATGCAAGGGGGTACAAGGGGTAATAATATAGGGGTTAAGTTTGGCAGTAAACAGCATTTAAAAGTCAATTAATTGCCCAAAGCTATTTTATAAAGACGATCCTAGAGTTACACAGTATTATTAATCAAGGCCGTGGACCCACACGAACCTGCCTTAACCCAAGGCCTACGATAATTCAGACCGAACTGGCAACCCGACCTGGGTCCCAGCTCGTCCCAAGCCAACCCAGGCCAACCAATCCATATTTTAGTTGTTAGGCAAATTTTAAGAATTAAACCACTAACTTGGGTACATTGCTAGGCTTGCCCATATCCGAGGGCACGGCTATTCGAATAGATTTACTCTGATCAGAGGTGTACATCTTTAACCACAAGACACATCTTTACTCCGCATTCCATGGCCTTGGAACCCGTCATAAACATGTGACATAACCCTTCACCCATCCTAGCCGTGAACAAAAGTACCGACCCAACCCTGCCTACGGCCGGTATCCCGGGACAGGCAGGCCAGGATTGAGCCCCTAGCAACAGGATCTAGACCGGGTGCGCCACACGCATAAGGGTGAGACCACCCGCGTACTAGTCCAGTGCCATGGCATCTCGACTAACGGGCACCGACCCGTGTAGTCTTCATTTGCCTAGACATCTCGATTACCGAGCCACAGCTCGTGTAGCCTTCATTTGCCTCAGAGATATCCATCGTCGCAACGACTTCATCCATCTCTATACGTGTCCTTTTGTTCAGGAGTAGACTGAGTACCGAGTTAAGCCTTACCCATTAGACATGTGGTTAGTACGGTAGTGCTTTGCAATAGAGGCCCGAGCTTAATCCTTATATTGGCCGGGGTGCTACTTCCCACAACTGGAATGCACCCAAACCCCACCGGAAAACAGGTTTTAGGGGTTTTGAAAGAGGAAAAGAGGGGTATGTCCAATTCCACCATAAGCCAACCATTCCATAGTATCCAAGTGATATGAGAATTCCCAAAGTCTAAAGTTATAAAACCACCTAGTGTTGCCTAATTAAACAGCGAAGCATCTACCTAAATTCATACTAGTGGAACCATAAATAGAGTACCCACTAGTTGGGGTTTTATTTTCCTAGGGTGAACAAGGTAATAATAATGATAGTAGTAATAATAAGGTCGTACCAAAGATAAATAGGCATGGCTAAATAAAACAATGATAACGCGAGAATTTAAATAAAGCGATAATGCATTAATTTAAATCAAAATAATTTCATAAACTGGGATTCAATGTGCTCAAGGATGATGCGACTTGCCTTGCTCAGAGAGAACGGCCTTCTGAACCTTCGGCGACGACTGCAAACCACGCTTCGAGAACCTTCGGAACGACAGAAGCTACGTGAAGCACACAAGCAAAGCTACAAGCCTATAAAGAAGCAATAACAATACATAAAAAGAAAGCACACGGTTCTTTAGGTTGTAACAAACATTAGGAGACTTGAACGGGTTGATTTGGGGTTCGTATGACCAAGATATGATCATCCGAAGTTTAATGCTGTTACATGGAGATTTACGGATTATTGTGATTAGGTTTTGCAATTATAAAACATGTATAAGCGCTAGCCTGGAAAAGACAAGAAGGCTGCGTCGTTGACATGTGGACCCCACATGTCAACCTAAGGGACCACAGTAGACCGAGTACACAGAGACGGTCCACGGGTCGACGGAAGCGGATCCCGTGTGTCAACCGAGGCGAGTGGCCGACAAACGGACTCCACTAGACACCACACGGCCTGCACACGTGGAAACCACGCGGCTACCGAGCGGGCACACTAACACGGTCACCACACGCACAAGCGAACGACTACCGACACCAGTACACGGGTACCGGGGTCAACAACCGCACAACGGGCACGGGCGACACCGAAAGGACTAGGACGAGGCAGCGAGAGGACGGATCCTTACCACCACGCGACGAGGCGTGGGAACGACAATGACGAATGAGCGCGGCGGAGACGGCTCGGGGACGACGGAGGCGAACGGCGAGGGAACGACTTCGGCGGCGATCCTTGCACGAAGGCGGGACGCGGCCGGCGCAACGCTTGGCAACGCGGAGGCGATGACGAAGACGACGACGGGGCTGCAGCGGCTCACTTGACGTAACGCGGACGACGAACGCGAACGGCTTGACGGAGGGACGAACACCACTACGACCGGGAACGACGAGAGGACGACGCAACGACGACCGGGGCCGGCGAGGAGGCGACGAGGCAGCCGGCAGCAGCTGCACGGAGGCGAGGACGGCGCGGAACACGCCGCTGCGAATCCGACGACGGAGGTGGTGCCGCGAGACGATGAGCCGGCGAGGAGGAACGGCCAACCGGAGGAGGGGATGGCGATGTCGGACGGAGACGACGACGACGAACACCGGTGGGGTTCGGTCGAAGGGGAGGCGAGGCTGAGGGCGACCTTGCCGCTATAATGCCAGAGGTGGAGATGGTGACATCGGCCGGCGCATGGGCACGGCGGAAGTGGCTGCCGAAGCCGATGTTGACGAGGAGGAAGGAGAGGCCGGCGTGGCGGCGGCGGTCTCCGGACGAAGACGGGCAGCGGTCGGGGTTGATGGCGATGTCACCGTGCCGAGGGAGGGGATAGCAGCGTCGGCCAACGCTTTAGGCGCGGCGAACGGCCGACGGGAGGTGGTGCAGTGGTGGCGATGCCATTGGACGCCAGCGGGAACACGCCTCCGGTGGTCTCCGCGCGAAACGGAGGCGACGCCGGTGGAGGGGAAGCAGGTGCGACGCTGAGGGAGGAGATGGCGCGGCCGGCCGGCGCACGGGCTCGACAGCAGAGGCGGCTGGAGGTGGTCGGCGCTCGGAGAGAGAGAGGGAGGAGGCGGGGAGGGGTGGTGAGGCGACGGGGGAGCGCGGGAGGGGGCTAAAACGATAGAACGGAGCGAGGGGATTTCATTTTATAGGCGCGGGGAGGGAGCCGGCCACGGGAGAGGGCGAAACGACGGTGGAAAAGGCGGCCAGCGGCCATGGAAGGTGGCCGGGGTTGGCGCGGGCATTCTCGATGATTGGGGGCACGAATCAAGGGGGAAATTGGGGTGGAATTGAAGAGGAAGGAAAGGGGATTAATTCCCCCTAATCAATTTTGGAATTCCCGGTTTGAATCGCGTGGATTTTGGGGAGGAATGGCGCTAGGTTTTCGGGAGAGAGAGAGGAGGCCGGGCGGGAGGAGGACGACGACCCGGCGCGTGGGACCCACGTGGCCAGGCGCGCGGTCAGCGCACGCACGTGCGCGGCACGGGCGGGAGGGCGCCGCTCGGCTTGGGCCCGGAGCCGGCCCAGGAGGAGAGGAGGGAGAGGCAGCCCGGGAGGGAGAGGGAGGAGGAGGGAGCTGGGCCGAGGGGAAGGAGGGAGGGCGGCCCAAGAGAGAGAGAAGGAAAAAGAGAGGGAGGAGGGAAGGACTTTGGGCGTGGGCCGAGAGAGAGAGAGTGGATTTTGGGCCAGATTTGGCCCAAAGGAGGAAGGAGGATTATTTTTAGGTTTTTCTTTTTAATAAACTTTGATAATAGTTGTTGTTGCTTAATAAATATTTTCGGTGCTCGGAAAATTTAAGTAAAATTTGAGGGCTCATTTTAGACCAAGGAGAATTTAACGAAAATTCTCCGGGCCACATTCGAAATTTTCTTGTACGCATTTTAATGTTTGCTAATTTCTTTTCGAATTTTAATTAATTCTATTATTCCATTTAGAGAATGATTTTTATTTCGGGATGAATTTATCAGGACGTGACACCATTGAAATCAACTGTTGATATCTATGTTTCTCATCATTAAGCAGGTTACCTATGGAATTATACCATTCAAATGAGTCAGTTCTATAAATTTCAAAGTCAACTCATAAAGTTGCCGTTTATATAGGACTCAACATGGATGCAGAAAGGCAGAGAATTACACTTGTCAAATTGTACTGCAAGGAAATGTATTTCAAAGTACTGAAATATCAAAACATTTTTACGTTGATCACCTTGAATCTGAATGACCTACAAACATATATAGCAGACCATTCATTATTATACACATTCACACCAAACAACTTGGATACAACACAATATACGTGCTATTTTGTACCTCCTAGCTCTGAATCATGGACCACAGTAACATTACAGCCAAATTCCTTTTCTAGATCCTAGAATATTTTGTTCTGGCTGTATTCTCTCTTCAAGCCTTGAACAATAATCAGTCTTTTTCTTCCGTTGTGCCACACTGAATGAGCGTGTGCACATATTCCTTTGATCCAGCACCAACACTGGAGTCCTCAGCATTTGCTTCCACAAACGGATGTATAGGGAAGATTTCAAAATTATCAAATGGTGGGTTCAGTCGTGCTCAGAAAAGACCACCAGTTACTCCTAAATCAAAATAAAGAAATGAGGTAAATCGGATAGTTCTAATTAATAATATAACCTGCAATTGGATATCAATATTATATTAGTTGGCATATACAACTTAGAGTAATATAATATAATTCAAAAATAAAAGATAAATGTAAATTCTATATAGAAGTTATAACCTATTGATCAAATTGTTAAGAGCTTGAAGAGATGATGTTATGATAATAAATATCCAAGGAAATGTTGGCATACCAAAAGCAGATGGAAGCTTGATGTCGACATCAGGCATGAAATTTGCTAGTAGAGTTTAATTGGTCTCAAACAGATCAAAGCTGAAATTTCACAAATACCGTGTTAAGAGTCAGAAATTAGAAAGTGCTTTCCTCATGAATTTTCAAAAATAGGGATTTTTTGGCATCTTATTATAGCTCGCAATTGACTAAGTCCATCATTACATGAAATCATCAAATAATTAACCATTATTACTATAAAATCCTGGTAGACAAAGACCAGATATCATCAGTACAAGTAAACACAAATTAAGGCATGTATCACATTTCTATAGAGAAAAGGTGATTATTTACAAACAAAAAGCCTTTTTACAGGCCTCGAAGATGTACATAGTATCATACCTCCTGGATGATAGCAGATACCACAAATTTAAACCAGATGTGTAGCTCTACAAGAACCGTAAAAAGGATCTTTTTTTTAACCATCCTTGAGGAGGTGGCTATACATTCTCACCTTGCTAGGTAGCAATAGTTATTTATTGCAAGGTGATAATTTGAAAACATGATTGTTTCAAAACACAGTTCATAAATGTCTTAAAAACTACATTGATATGTACAAGTCTTACATAAGTGTATATCATGAAGCCGATGATCTTGTACAAAATTATTAATGCATCATAATTGTAGGTTTGAGCAACACAAAACAATCTTTAAATAAATTGAGTTAGATTACATCCTTATATGAATCGCTTTATAAGTTGACTTATTTAATTATTAGTGTAAAATTTTAATACCAACAGGTAGTTCCCTAATGTTGAGTTGAAGAAAAAATAATCTAAGAAAAAAGGCAACCATGCTGTTACTGTGATGTATTTAGTTTGGGACAAAATATACTTCCTGTATTTCAGAATATATATATATATTTTAAAATAAAGACAATAAAAGGCCATAGGGTCATATCTACATTAACCCAATATTAAGCCTAAGTAAGCAACCAACCAATTGCGCTACTTCTCAACAGGAGCATCGACACCACACCGAACAGTATGGGCGCGATGGCGAGGTAGATTTATAATCGAAGTCCACATGGCAGGCAGTATGCCTGTGATGGCGAGGTGGTTTCGTACTCCAAATCTGGTTGTGTCATTCAAAGCAGTAAAGCAATTAACAATCAACGATGAAGAGAGTTTGAAGATTTATTTACATGGAAAATAAATGCCTACCGAGCAGATGAATCTTTGAATGTTGGCCAGCATTTGCCTCCGAATAGAGAACCCAGAGCCGATAATCATCCGTTTGGGCTGACCTAGAGAGTAGGAGGAGCTGGGCAGCAACGATGAGCTCTGACGACGGTGAGGTGCTGTCCTCCAATGAGCAGGCCTGCCACTATCTCCGTCGCCGTACCCCTCGCAAACTGATATATTGTAGAGAAAATTCCCTATGTAGTATAAAAAAAAAGTTGTTCTTCTATCTCTACCACCCAAACTTCAAAAGTTCTCTATCTATGCACCCTCAAAATTTCCCTTCCCTATGTAGCACTTCCATTAGTTTTTACACTTGATGGTGTTAACTAGAGGAGAAAAGACGGTTTTACCCTTATTTAGTTTTCAGACTTGCCTGTACATGATGCAATAGGCCAACAGATCTAGGTTCCAGTTGGAATGTGCTGGTATCTTCTGAATGTGACACACCGATGAGTCTGCTTGCTAAACAGGAAGCTTATAAATTTTATGTTTATAAATTTTACCAGAGCAATGTGAGGAGCAGAGGAGGCGCTATGTGCTTATAAATTTTCCCAGAGCAATGTGCTTATAAATCAGTGAGTCTAAGCTCAACAACTTTCTTCGGTGACAGCTTCTGAATGAATAGCTGAACAAGAGGGCCAAAACTCAAGAACAGCTGCGCGCTCATAAATCTAGCATAAATCAGCTACTATGCAGTGAAAAGCACTTCTCTTCCACCGACAGCTTCTTCTATGTTCCACCAAAACAAAATCAACCAGATCAACTCCCTAATTGCTCAGTAACCAGAGCAATTTTCCCATTTACTGGAGCAAAAAAGCAAAATCATTTGCTATTCACCCAGCAAAATCATGAGAAGAATAAGTTACATTGTCATGTATGGCTCCTGCCCCAGCAGCGAACGAGACGCCCGGTCGCGGATCCTGGCCGACGCCGAGCGGCCCACGGCCATCTCCTGCTGGACCTCATCGGCGTTCGGCGACGGCGTGGGCGCCGAGGAGGTCACCGAGTTCTTCCTCCCCATCCAGCAACGACGAGGAGCAGATGGCGGCTCGCCGGCATGTGTGAGGTCTGAGGAGATGCCCTCGCCGTGCTCTCACTAGGGACATCATGGAAGAGGCAACAGCGAGGCGGAGAGGAGAGGTGGGGGTGCCGGGGTGGGGGGGAGGCGACTAAGCGGAGGAGGTAGCGGCTGCGACGACGAGGGGATGCGATGCGGCGGCGGCGAGGCGCGTGCGAGAGGGGGAGAAGTGCGAACTTTTCTCTGTTTAGGTATGGGGATTATGGAGCGACAGGCCTGTCGCTCCATAATATCTTATCAAACATAGCAACGGAATTTGATAATATCTTATCGTACAAACAAAATATACTCCGTAGAGTAATTACATGCAACAACTTGATAGGTGGTGTAATTTGGTGTAATAACTTGAGAAATGAGCGTTCTAGTGCAACAACTTGGTAGAAAGGTGTAATTTAGTATAAGAACTTTATAAGTGATCGTATAGATACAACAACTTGCAAGTAGGTACGATTTTGATACAATAAATTAAGAAGTTACATGACAACTTAATTATTTGGAGCATTTTAATTTTTTGAGTTTTTATTTTGACCATATTCTAGCATGGATTTGTATAATCATATTTATATATTTATTCTAATAACCGATAACTGAAAGTTAATAAAATTGGATGTAGAATTATTATATTTCGGTTGATATTTGAGATGGTGAAGAAAGCAAAAAAAAAAAAACTTGAAGATTAAATTGTATATGCAGTATAATTCTTGAAGATTAAATTCAATATTATAAGGTAATATCCGTAGGAATATTGTGTAATGGCATATTGACATCGTGAAAAAACTCACCTAGCATATGCTTAGCCAAGTTGACGCACCAAAATACTATAAATTGTAGTTCTTGTACTAGAATGCACCCACTTGTCAAGTTATTGTACTCAAATGTTCAATTCGCAAGATCTTGCATTATATCGCACCCACCTGCCGAGTTATTGTACCATGGGTGCAATTTACTCTTACTGTAATCTCCAATGAACATCAAATGTCACTTTTGCTTTTCAGTCGAAACATAGCATTATCTAATATAAGTTAGAATATGTTAGAATATCGATCAGTCCTAGCTTCTACAGTCTATGCTTAATAAATATTTTAGACATAGTGAAAGAAGTGCAGTGCAGATGCATAATTGATCCTTCAGTGCCCCTGCAACAAAAAGATCCTTACAGCCTTCCAGTTCCATAATTTACACCATCATCAGCATCTTCTCCAACTATCATCACAGGAGAATTACGAAAAATTATTTAAGACCATAATAGAGCTGATTGAGGATATGTATATGGTAATTTAAAATTCCAGCAATTGACAACTACTTGTGGGTAACCCCAAAGAGAGGTAGATTATAACAACTAAAAATTAAGCATTATCTAATATAGTTGTATGGAAGACCATACAAACTAATTGCAATTTTCTGAAGTTTAACCATGTTCAGAATAATGATCCAAAAATTAAGCAACATGCTCCTATTCCCCCATGCATCCATATGGTGACATTGGTATACACAAATACCATTAACTTTAATCTACAGTACTTCGAGGAACTTATGCAAGCATTGCCTTTTGCCATGCCACACAAACAAAAAATGATTTTTTTTTCTTCTAAAAATAGCATATAAGCTAGTTGTAAATGATCATCTTCATCACGCATGATTAATATTCATAATAACACTTTAGACAGAAACAAATTGACAGAGGAATTATTATATTCACATCACAAAAATTAATATCTTGTCAACTTTCAGCGTTCTTAAACATGTTGCACATGACAAGAAGTATAATCTTATGAAAACATGTTGAACTGAACTAATGCAACAATCCATTTCTTGCTGTACATACATAAAATAAAACCAGTGAACATTATAATGCACAAAGTTTCAGACTCAAGTGTATAACTGATATATCGTAAATGTAGAAAAGGATGACCACCTCAACCTTCTTCTAGTTTCTCTCTCTAGAAATTAGAACGTGTGGAAGTACAATTCAGCCTTGAAAACACTAAACACTTGCTTGCTAGCTACTGGTAATAGAGTGTGACTCTGAAATCTGAACTTACTTTGTAGACAGATCCAAAACCACCTTTTTCAAGCAAACTTTCACTTGAGAAATTATTAGTTGCATCTTTTATGTCAGAGAAATCATACAGTTTAAAGCCCAAGTTACCCTCTTCTAACCTCCAGAGAGTTATTACATTCTGCATTGCCATGTACAGCCTTCGCAGCTCCGATCTTACTCTCCGGGAAATGCAGCAATCAAGAACTCACCACGCCCAAATCAAGAACTAATGATATGGTTTAGGACGTGCGGCGGCGGTGGTGGTGAATCAAGAACTCATCCTCACCCAACCAAGAAAAAAAGCTCATTCCCCATCTGATCAAGAACTCACTAATTCTCACCCAGATCAAGACTCACCAGATCGAGCAGAATACGAGGAGGACGACGACGAATCGCGGCGACGACGGGAAAGGGAGAAAAGAAGAAAACCCTAACCCTAGCTTTGAAAGAGGAGGGGAGAGGGGAAAAGGCTGCGTGCTCACTGGAGAGAAGATGGCGGCCGGAGGAGAGCGCCGTGCCGTCACCATCGCCTCCGCGTCGCGCCGCCCCCGCCGTTGCACCACCTCGAATCGCCTCTACGTCGTGCTGCCGCTACGCGTGTTGCGCGTCGCCTCCCGGCTCCCGTCGTGAGGAATTTTTCCACGCCACACGAGAAGTTGATTTTTTTCCCGGGCCTGGGTGAGGGGGAAAGGCCGGGATAGGCCGGGGTAAAACCCAGACTGGGCTTAACCGAACACACAATTTCGGATGGGCCTGGATTGTTTCCTCGCCGGGGTGATCGACGGGGATTGGACCCCAATCCTGGCCGGGAACGGCCCAACCAAACAAGGCCTAAAGGAGAGGCAAAGGATTTTACGCTCGCTTGTTTTTACGAGGATGCGGGCAAAGCCGCCGAAGGGAGAGGAGGCCACGTGGCACGAATTTAGAAGAGGTAACGCTGATTCTGGCTGATTCTGGTAGAGTCACGTGACCCAATGAAAATCCAGGGTTTGGATCCAGAAATCGGTAATAGAGATATGTGAGCGTTCCTAGGTTGCCTCCGATTTAGAAAAAAAGATCAAACACAATTATTTAGACTTATACTGGAGTATTATATTAGAAAAAGTGTCCGTGTGTCGCAATGAGATGAAAAGACGAGAAAATTGACAAAGGGATGAGAAATATTTACATTATCTATTTAATTCAAATACAAATTTTTGGAATTATTTGGGTATTTCTTAAGTAGTTAGGTATATAGTTAAATTAATTTACAACTAAAGTAAGTGTAACAAATAAAATAATATGGTTGGATTTAATTTTTATTAAACTGTCCATATTAGCTTCACTCTGAAATTTTCTTGGAATTTTTAAATCTTAGTACAAACATCATTTCAGCATTTATTTAAATAAAAATCCTCCTTTCTCTATGGGCCATTTTCAGCCTATTTTCTTCTTCAACACGCAACCGAGTCGGCCCGATTTCCTCAGGTCGCAACCAAGCGTCCGGCCCAGGAAGCAACCAAAGTCTAATTAACCTCCCACTACTCCTCCTTTCACTTGCCATGTGAGCTGTAACCGAAAATCTAACCACGTTTTGCACGCAGCCAGCAGTGTTGCTGTACGGCAATGGAGGTCGACCTGACACTTAATCGATCTGAGTCGTTCGTTTTGATGGACGGCTCAGATCGGTTCCGAATCAATCAAAACCCTAGTACCAAAAAAAAAACCCTAACCCTAGATTCATCCCCCCACACCACCGGCCGCCTCCCCCCATCCGGTGCCGCCTCTCCCCCTCCTCCTCTCCTCTCCCCACCGGCTGCACCGTTCCCTCTCCCCCTCTCCCTCCGACTAACTTCTTTTATTTTTTAAACTTTAACATTTTATTACTATTTAAAAAGAAGTAATTTGTAATGCACCCTCCATAATTTTTTCTGTAGATATGTACAAATTCGTTATACTAGGAGGGGTCACATCCTCTTCTAGGTTGCCTTTTTTTAGGACGGAGGAAGTAGACCGCCAGTGACACCAAACATCGAAAAAAATCTGGTATCTCATGCCAAAATGGCCCCTTTGCTTTGCGGATGGCACGGTACATCGCCTATCTTGTATAAGAAATTGTTTTGTGCTTCTAATATATTCTCTCCGTAAAAAAAAACTCAACCTAGGTAAGGATGTGACATCTCCTAGTACATCTTTTGTCTAGATTCATTTTACTAGAAAATATCATATCCCCTCCTAGATTAATCTACTTTTTTTTGGGACGGAGGGAGTACATACATATCTCACAAATTTTTGCATTTTTGAAAATAAAATAGCCAAGTGGCCGTGAGGCCATGAAAGCTTAGACGCCATGAACATGACGAATAGGAGGTGTACCGGATGTAGGAGGCAAATAGTTTTATTTATGAAAAACTCTTAACAGGGTTACGTTTGATTAAAATTAGTTCACGTGTCATGTAAATTCCAGTAAAAGATCGTGGAATATTTTGACTGGGGGGGGGGGATTTAGTAAAACTATTGCGAGCCACATTTCGGATGATTTTCCCCCTAGGCCGACACATAGAAATGTTGACAGAGTACAAATCAGAAGTACTGAGGTGAAAATAATAACATCAGAAGTATTGGAGTGAAAAATAAAAAATAAACATCATTATCAGCTTCAGGACGACTGATTGAACAATCATACCCAAGATTTCATTCCAAATGTCTACGGTACGGCCAACGCATGCGAAGCAAATAGAGCCTCCAGCGCAGATAAACAGGTGGCCGTTTCTAGTTTCTACAAACTATGACATGGGAATTGGCGAATTGCATATACTAGTAGTTACTTACATGCTTTACTTACAAACAATGAATTCAGGTATAGTTCTATAACAATCACAAAGAGTGCCATGCAACAGAAGGGAAAATAAACAAAACCGTAGAATATATTCTAAAATTTAGTATCAGCATCAGATTATAATCCACAGCTAAGCCAAGCATGCACTAAAATATAAGCAGCCATATTTTATATAATAACTCACCTGATATTAGGTACCGGGTTAGCTTGAAATTCTCAATGCTGTTCTGTCCATCAACCAGGTTTGCTTAGTAACAATTGACAGGCACTAAAAATGTCAGAACTTCCAAAGACAATTTCCCCAATTTTGAAACACCAAATTCTAATACCATCTTTTGCACCTAGTCCCAAGCAGAGACA